CCGCCGGGCTCTCCGCCTGTCTTCAAGGCGCGTTACGTTGCACGAGGCTTCAGTCAGCGAGAGGGAGTTGACTTCTTCCAGACCTTCTCCCCGACCCCGAAGATGACCACTCTTCGGATTCTGCTGCACGTCGCCGCTCAGCGTGACTACGAGCTCCACTCTCTTGACTTCAGCACTGCTTTCCTAGAGGGCAGCCGGCACGAGGAGATCTGGCTGCGCCGCCCACCTGGCTTCACTGGGTCGTTCCCTCCTGGTACCCAATGGAGCCTCCGACGGCCAGTCTACGGTCTCCGCCAGGCGCCACGTGAGTGGCACGTCACACTGAGGACTACACTTGCGGCTTTTGGGTTCGCGCCTTCTACTGCTGACCCGTCGCTGTTTCTACGCACCGACACCTCACTGCCGCCGTTCTACATCCTCGTGTACGTCGACGACTTGGTCTTTGCCACTGCTGACACTGCGGCACTCGCCCACGTGAAGTCGGAGCTGCAGAAGAGACACACGTGCACAGACCTGGGTGAACTGACAAGCTATCTTGGCTTGCGAATCACCCGGGACATAGCACGCTGCACCATCACCTTGACTCAGTCACACATGGTGCAGTAGGTCCTTCAGCGCTTCCGCTTCACGTACTCCTCGCCTCAGGCCACTCCTCTGCCTACCGGTCACTCGCTCTCAGCTCTGCCTTCGGATGAGTCCGTAGAGCCGAGTGGCCCGTATCCAGAGCTTGTGGGTTGCTTCATGTACCTGATGACCTGCACTCGACCTGACCTTGCATACCCTCTTAGCATTCTTGCACGCTATGTCGCTCCCGGCCGTCACCGGAAGGAGCACATGGATGCAGCTAAGAGGGTGTTGCGCTACTTGTGCAGTACGTCGGGCATGGGGCTAGTGCTTGGAGGGCGAGACCCAGTTGTTCTTACTGGGCACTCAGACGCTTCTTGGGCAGACGACCAGGCTACTCAGCGGTCGTCTCAGGGTTACACCTTCAGTCTTGGCTCTGGTTCAGTTTCTTGGCGTTCTACTCACTCTTCTTCTGTTCTCAGCTCCAGTTGTGAGGCTGAGATCTACGCCATAGCCATGGCGGCCCAGGAGCTACGCTGGCTCACCTTCTTGCTGACCGACCTTGGAGAGCGGCCTCGTTCTCCTCCAGTGCTGTACGTCGACAACAAGGCAGCCATTGCCTTGTGTCAGGAGCACAGACTGGAGCATAGAACAAAGCACATTGCTCTGCGCTACTTCCTTGCTCGAGAGCTGCAGCAGCGCGGTCAGCTTCGTCTGCGTTACGTGGCCTCTGAGGCCAACACTGCTGATGTGTTCACCAAGGCGCTTTAGCCTTGTGGCCATCAGCGCTTTTGCACTCTTCTAGGCCTTGTGCCTACTGGACCTCACTTGCTTACTTCTTGAGTCTGTTTGTACTGTGATCTCTATATATATACCTGCATGTTTAGTCTTGCTAGGTTGTGATCATTGTACCTCTTGCTCTATTATAAACCTGCATGTGAACTGGTCTTGTGACCATTTGCTTGTGCTCGGAATTTGTGTGGTATCCTTGAGATCCACCCTGAGCTTGTTTTGCCTTGCTTTGCCTTGACTGGTCTTGTGACCCCTAGTTCTCCCCCACTTCGCCTATGGGGGTGTGTCAAACATTATATATGTTGTGCTTGTTTAGGCTATAGTGGGTTAGCCTATAGGGGGTACACAATTCTAGGGTTAGGTACTTGTACTGATTTCACTGTTAGTTCAATCATTCCTGTTCGTTCATTTCAACAGTTATGGGGGGTTGTGTCTCCATGGTAGCCAGTAGCCATTGGCGATGACCGAGAGGATGAGGCTACTTGGGCACCACGAACTCCACCATGCAAGGGTTGCGCGAAGCCGCCCGCGCATTCGCGTGACGGTCTTGTCTGTAACGGCGAACTCGTACGGATCGTCGTCGTCTAACACCTCCTATTGCCTCTGCATGTTTGCGGAGTGACAATGGGGCAGGATTGCAAAATTGAGGTTCTTATGGATATGATACACATCCTTCGTGTGTGAAGGGTAGGTGCATGCGATGGGTGTATGCTCATTGACCCATTCGAATAATCATTTGTCGGCAATAGCATCCGCATTGTACGCCCCCCTTTTTTTGGCAATCCCTAAACCAAGGAGTGGGTGTGAGTCTTCCCGCATGGTCACGTGACCACAAGTTTTTTTTCTTCTTCTTCTCCTTGTTTATCTCTGGCTTGCTCTCTCTCTCTCTCTCTCTCTCTCTCTCTCTCTCTCTCTCTCTCTCTCTCTCTCTCTCTCTCTCTCTCTCTCTCTCTCTTTCTCTCTCTCTCTCCCTCTCTCTCTCTCTTTCTCTCTCTCTTTCCCTCCCCCTCCCTCTCTCTCCCTCGTTTTCTCTTTCACACACACGTGCGCACACACACAAATTCTCCTTCGTTCTTGCTCTTGCTCGCCCTTGAGTCGGGTCATGCTTCTTGGCCCATTGGCCAAAGCAATGGTTGCACGTCCGATGAGTGCAAGGGTCGTTGATTGGGGTCATATGGTAAGTATCTTTGCCATTCTTTGCTCCTCCATCTCTCCTTGTCTCTTCTTTTTCCGCTCCTTCTCTCTTTCCTCCCCCCCCCCCCTTTGTTTTTGTTTTTTTTTTTTTCACACCATAAGCCAAGTCAGAAATTGCTTCTTTAATAAAACCGCCCTTATATAAACCGGGCCATATATTACCATGCTCCTAGCATGCCTTCGCCCCTACCGCATGGGCTCCTACCAATGGGCCAAGAGGTTTTTACTCCCTCCCCCTCATCCTAGGCCTCTAGCCTATTAATCACCCCTAACTAGGGCTGGCCAACCGCCACCGCTAACCCCTTTGGGTTGCCCACGGTCTTTGCACATGACGTGCACCGTGCCACGCGCACAAGGCGCCATCGCTCAAGGCCCGCCCCTACACCACGGGTGCGGGTCCTTGGCCACCGTTTCCGTTTCACGGGCAGCCACTTGCCATGTGACCCGGCTGGCCACAACGGAAGCACGCCCCCCACGGAAGCCATGGAAGCCACCCGTGGGCGGCGGTCCCCGCTTTGGGGTGTATGAAGTCGGCCCGTGCCCTCCACCGCGGTGGGAACGAGCGTACGCGCCCTCCGCGCGATCCATAGCCGCCACGTCATCCACCGCCTGCTTGAACGGGCGGGAGGTGAGGAGACTCTTCTGCTGGTAGAGTTTGAATCGCTTCGCCACGCGGTCGTCGGTGTGGTCCTCGACTTGGAACATCACGAAGCGCTCCGAAATATAGTCGTGGGCGTTGACGACCATTTCGAGTCCGCCCGCCGTGTCGTCGTGCTGCAGCTTGTACTCCGCGTTTTTCAGGTAGGCCCTCACGTCCTCCAGGGGCTCCGCTTTCGCGCGCACGATTGTCTTCATGAAGTTTGCGGTTGAGAAGGTGGGGGTGGTTGAAGGAAGGGGGGGGGAGATTTTCCATGGATGTAAAATTTGTTGCGTTGATTGGACCCTCACCAGCGTCGTCGTCTGAGTCGTCGCAGTCATGATTGTCGGCTGCGGCTTCGGGAACGCCGGTAGCCGCTTCTTTGTTGTGACGGCGTGTTGACGCTCCTTTTGCTCCCTTCTCCTTTTTCAAAATTTCGTTTTTAGCCGAAATCGATGCTGCCGGTTGTGTATTTTCGGCTTCAATGACGCTGGCGGGTCGCTGCTGTAACAGGGACAGAAGCGCTTTGACTTGGTCCGGGGTCAACGCTCTGGTCAAGTCAGGGTCCACGGTCGCGTCAGACGAGGCGGCCGTCCTGCGCCTCTGGCGCGACTGCCTGAGGGGCGCGTGTGCCTCAGGCGCGTGCTCCGTGTCAGCAGCGTGTGGCGCCACGTTTGCCACAGGTGCCATAGGTGCCACTGGCGCAACAGGCTCCACAGGCGCTGAAGGGTGCTGCTGGTGCCGCTCGACGTTTTTGTTTACCTCGAGCCCGCCCAGCAGCACGTCTACGGCAGTTGGGGCGGACGTTTCGCCGTCTGCCCGGCGCTTGTTGCGACGCTCGCCCGACGTTTCCCGGGCATTGCGATCGTTGTCGGAATTAATCGGGTCGTTGACGACGGTGTTGTTCGCGCGAAAAGTGTCGGCGTAGCAGCCATCGTCGTGGTGTTGTGGTTGAGAATGTCGGCTAATAGTGTTGAAGGTGAAACGCCTCTCGGTAGAGAGCGGGTTCTAGCCAGCTTGAACGGAAAACTAAAGCTCGAGGAACCGAGAGTTGCATGAGCCGTTTGAAAAATGAGAGACGTGGGTGGAGGGAAATGAACTCCAACCCACGATTTGTAGTTGGAGAAGGGCGTTAGCGCGCTTCGACGATGCCAAATTCGCGTTACAGTCAGCTGCGCTTTCGAAATACGTAATTTTAAAAAAACACTATGTGTGTTTAAAAATTATCATATTCACTACGTAGGATTTGAGTGCGGTGACAGATCGATCTGGAAGGGACATCGCGTTCGGTGACTTGTGTTGGGTCTTAGGGAACTTTAACGAAAACAGGATACAAGACACGGCGAACTACTACATACTCGGAACATCGATCTCCCACAGGATCGATGTCGCAATTGTGACGCATCCTTAGCTGCTGGGTGATGATGATCTTACTGTAACAGGGTGTACAAAAATACATCCACTCCAGCTGTCATGGATATGTCCAAACTCTTGGAACAAAAAGGTTAAAGGTCATAGCACCCTGCTGCTACCCAATCACATGCAGCCATCTGTCACACCAGGAACCAGGGAGAGTTGTTTCTGTGGGTGCCAAGCCAACCAGCCACATCCAAGCAAGCAGGCAGCTGAGTTCCGCTGACATGCCGCAAAAGCAAGCAAGCAGATAGAAAGACAGTGCCAAAAGGGTTTAAAATCGCCATTTTGACTGAGACAAGCAGCAAGCAGCAATCAGGAGCAGCAATGACAAGCACTCACCTGCCAGACCAGGCAGCTGAGGAGCCAAAAGGCATGCAGTTGCCGCAAAAGCAAGCAGTCATAGAGAAGGAGGGGAATGAGAAGTGAATAAATGGAGGGGAATGAGGATGGGGTGGGTGGGGGGTACAGACCGGAAAGTTGAGGAGTCAAAAGACATGGATTGCAGGCAAACAGACATATAGGGGAACGGGGGGAAGGGGGGGGAGAGGATGATGAGTGAATGGGCGGGGACAGATGAAGGGTGAGTGGGGGAAAGCTGAGGGGAGAGCAAAGGGGGATGTTGGGTGGTTAGGTTGTAGAGAGGGAGAAGGGGAGTGAGGGAGATGAGGGGTGATGGGGTTGCGGTGGTATGGGAGGGGAGGGAGATGAGGGGCGGATCGGGAGGGAGAGGAGGCGTGAGGGGGGGGGGGGGAGGGAAACTGAGGTATGGTGGGGGGAGGGGAACACGGGTAAGTCGGAAATGCGGGAAGAGGGGAGGTGGGGGAGAGATGGGGAACGAGGGGGGAGTGGAAGGGAGATGAGGGTGGGCGTGAAGGAAGAGAGCAAGAGAGCGCGGCGGTGATATGAAGGGGGGCTGGGGGATGAAGGGAGAGAGGGGGGCATGAGGGGAGGACGGGAAAGATGCGGGGAGAGCGGAGAAGATGCGGGGAGAACGGAAAAGATGCGGGGAGAACGGAGAAGATGCGGGGAGAGCGGAGAAGATGGGGGGAGAACGGAGAAGATGCGAGGAGAACGGAAAAGATGCGGGGAGAGCAGGGACGATGAGGAGAGAGCTGGGAAGCAGAGAGACGAATTATGTTTTTAGGCTGCGTCATGGGGTGAAAAGGGAGAGAAGGGGAAGCGGGGAAATGGGGAGGGAAAAGGGGAAAAATAGGAAAAAAAAATGGCGGGTTCCCGTGTTACCTTTCGCGGATCCTCTCCGTCCTCAAAAAAAGCTTTCACCCGTCCATTCTCCCGTTTCACCCCGCCACTCACCTCCCGCCCTCTTTATTTCCGCCTTGCGTCCGGCTACCGTCGACAAAGCTGTCTAATCGACGATACGCGCAACGTTACTGATGCGTTTGGAAGCGAGGCGACCAATTCCTCCGCGGACGTATGTTACTATTCCGTCCTCAATCCGCAAGCAATAAAGAACGTCAGATTCGGAGGCGTGCAACTGAATGCGGTGGGGCGACTAACTGCAATGTTTGATGTCAGATCTAATTCTGCTAACACACTACCAAACGCGTTGAAGCGACTAACACTAAGAAACGACCGATAGAGTGGGTCACCTTTACCACAATGTTAACTCGCTGACAAAGCAAGAAGATGGCCTTACGCTCCACGTTGACTACCGCGCTAAGATCTGGTAAACGAGAAACAAGTATCAAGAAACAGCTAACATGATGAGCGACAAAACTACCACCGAGTGTAAGTCGAACCTTGCGCTATTACAACTGGAAAATGACGGGTGAGAGAGAGAGGATTAGGTGTGGCAGGTTCGGCAACTCGAGGTTCGGGTTGTTGGTAATGCCGTGGTGGATGTGCCATGGTGGCTAAAACACCATTTCTGTTGGCTCACGTGAATCTCATTTCATCCAACCATTGGATTTCCAGTTGCCCGATTCAGCTTTAGCCAGTCAGCTGAGCTTTTTCGCGCCACTCACGATTCCCATAACTGAGGGCGTATTTCTGCACTTCGGGTCATCAGCACTTCGGGTCATCCGAGATTGTGGGATCCAATCGGAAAATCAGAATGCATCCCAATCTCTTGATTCCGAATTTCCGATTGGATCCCACAATTTCGGATGGCCCGAAGTGCTGATGACCCGAAGTGCGGGAATACGCCCTAAACCAAAGCCGTCCCGCACCGCACCTCACGCAAAATTCACACGGGTTCGCTAAAAAAAACTCATGGCCCAACCAAAGAAAGCGCCACGTCAACCACCTCTCAGAAGTTCGAGCCTGCCCTTGCAGTTGTGCATCAGCACGCCGAACAACCTTCCCAGCCAGAAATACGCGTCCTTGGCAAACGCGTTTGCATACGAGCAAGGCCAATAAATGTGCATTTTCACCAATTTGCATTTTCTAACCAATTTGTGTCAAAGCAGTGTACAATTTGGGCTGGCCTGGATGGATAAGGGGGCCCGCTTCAAAATGTTCTCCACACGCCGCTCGACAAATGTCCCTTGCCACAATCTCAGCGCGCCATTTGATTGGCCGATGGCACAAGCCACCACACCTCCTCACCGCTATGGTCTGTTGCACCACCACCATCCATCCATTCACATCACACTGTACTTCTCGCACCGCGTACCCAGCCCAGTGTCAGCATTTCCCTCGCTACCAGCCATAGCACATGACCAGTAATTCCCCTGCTACCGCGTAACACCGCACTGCACCCAGGTAATTGCTGTACCGCACACTTGATTCATTGATCCATCACATTTGGGTTGACGCCGCGCTAGCCGCCATTCAGAAAGGCTGGAACTGAATTCAATCATCCCTGATCAGTAGCATGCCTTTCCTTCAGTTTCAGCAGCTACCTTCTGCTACCTGCTCTATGGACCATCTCATCCGGTCTAGCGACGTTGCGTTTGTGACGTCCATTTTCTTCATTCTCAAACTCGATGAAGGATTTTCAGTCCAATCCTATGAGCTACATCATATACTTCAGGCTATAGCTCTACCTGAGCAACCTAAGCGACTTGAAGTCGCCCGGACAGTACACGGTGAAACCCATGGCAGGCTGCGGCGTTGAGTTAGGGGTTGGGGTGGGTGGGTAGTCTGTGAGGAGTGAGCCAAAGCGTGCCTTGGGTGTAACCGTGTACTGCGCCGAATCTCGCGGCAACCTTTTCACCGCGATATCATCTTTATGCTCTTTAAGAGCTTCAGGAGCTTCAATGTATCATCTTTACGCTCTTCAAGAGCTTCGGGAGCTTCAATATATCATCGTTACACTCTTCAAAAGTTTCACGATCTTCAAGAGCTTTGGGATCTTCAATGTTTCCGATGGCAACCTTTCACCGCAACTGATACATGATCTCATCTGCAAGATATGCATGGGGAGTCTATTTCGAAGGATCTTCACGCCAAGAAACTTCCACGGCGAGAAAATCACGGCGCGATCTCCGCTCCAAGATCGTCGCGGCAAAGAAAGGCTCAACTTGAAGGAGTTTTATGGCGTCTCCCCTGCTGGCTTAAGGTGCTGCTACTGTCAGAACATTATAGCTTATACATTTGTGTAGGCTGTAGTGGGGTAGCCCATAAGGGGTACAACCCAATTAGGGTTAGTACTTGTACCCAACTCTTTCATAGTTCAATCATTCTCGTTTCTCATCATGGTATCGAGCAGGTTCCCGAGTGGGAATGCTGCCTAGGGCCCACCACGATTTTTTTTTCCCGAGTGGGAGCGCGCTTCACTCCTACCCGAGTCGCGTTTCGTGTGACCTACCTACCCTCGAGCCGCCCTTAGTGGCCCCTTTGGCCGCCCTTACGGCCCCTCGCGCTGCCCTCTAAGGCCCCTTGCGCCGCCCTTACGGCCCCTTACGGCCCCCTACGGCCCCTCGTGTCGCCCTCTAAGGCCCCTCGCGCCGCCCTTACGGCCCCTTACGGCCCCGCCTAGGCCCCTTACGGCCCCTCCGCGGCCCCGTCTAGGCCCCTCCGCGGCCCGGTCTAGGCCCCTTGCAGCCCCGTCTAGGGCCCTCCGCGGCCCCGTCTGGCCCCTTGCGGCCCCGTTTCGGCCCCTCTGCGGCCTCGCCTAGGCCCCTCTGCGGCCCCGTCTGGCCCCTTTACGGCCCCGTTCAGGCCCCTCCGCGGCCTCGTCTAGGCCCCTCCGCGGCCCCGTCTGGCCCCTTACGGCCCCGTTTAGGCCCCTCTGCGGCCCCATCTACGCCCCTTGCGGCCCCGTCTAGGCCCCCTTTCGGCCCCGTCTAGGCCCCTTTCGGCCCCAGCTAGGCCCCTTTCGGCCCCGCTTAGGCCCCTTTCGGCCCCGTCTCGGCCCCTCTGCGGCCCCGCCACCACCTGCGGCCCCGCCGCCACCTTCGGCCCCACTGCCATCTGCGGCCCCGTCACCACCACCTACGGCCCTGTCGCCGTCACCCGCGGCCCCGTCGCCCTACCCTAGCGGCCCCATCACTGCTCCGCCGCCCAGCGACCGAGCCGCCGAGCAGCACAGCAGCCAAGCCGCCCGCCTACCGAGCAACCGAGCCGCCCAGCAGCCGAGCCGCCCCGCAGCCGAGCCGCCGAGCACCCGAGCCGCCCAGCAGCCGAGCCGCCCTGTCGCCGAGCCGCCCTGCCACCGAGCCGCCGAGCCGCCGAGCCCCCCTACTGTCTAGCAGCTGCTGTTCCTACCGGTGCTCCCCGGCCCCTCCTTCCTCGGACTGGTGAGCTCAGTTCCTCCTAGGCCACTGCAGTCATGGCTACCCCCAGTGTCCTCACTTTTGATGCTGAGGGCCGTGCCGTTGACTTTGAGGTCTGGGTTGACGACCTCCAGCTGTTTCTCCAATGCGATAGGGCAGACGGCCTCTCCCTGTTTGACCTCACTTCTGGTGCCTCACCTGCCCCTGCTGCTGATGCTGACGCCACTGTTCGCTCGCAGTGGGCCACGCGCGATGCTGCTGCTCGCCTTGTCGTGTGCCGCCACTTACCGACCACTGAGCGTGCACACTTTAGCCAGTACAAGAGTGCTCAGACCTTGTACGACGCTGTAGTTGCATGCTACTCTTCCCCTGCCACTGCTGCACTGAGCCGCCTCATGCTACCGTACCTCTTCCCTGACCTTGCTGCCTTTCCTACAGTCGCTGACCTCATTACGCACCTCCGCACTAGTGACACTCGCTACCGCGCTGCGCTTCCTGCTGAGTTCTGTGCCAAGAACCCCCCCCCCCCCAAGTACATCACCCTCTACTACATAGTCACCCGGCTCCCTGACTCTCTCCGCGTAGTCAGGGACCACTTCCTCTCAGTTTGCCCCACCACTCTCACCGTTGACCTCCTCGAGAAGGCCCTCCTAGCAATAGAGAAGAGCATAATCGCTGTAGGAGCCTCTCGTGGTGACCCTCGCACCCCCGTCTTTGAGGGGTGTTCTCCCTCCCCCCTCTTGCCCTGTGTTGCCTCTGCTGCTGCGGCCGACCTCGTTGGTTTCGAGTCGGTCGGCGCTGCGTCTGCCCCGAGCGGAAAACGCCGCACCGGCAGGGGCAAGGGGGGCAAGGGCACTGGAGGGGCTGGAGGGGGCGGTGGAGGTGGTGATGGAGGCAGTGGAGGGAGTGGGGGTGGTGGTGGGAGTGGTGCTGGGGGTGGCGGCGGCGTCGGCAGCAGTGGAGGAGGTGGAGGCGGTGGAGGTGGCGGAGGGAGCGGAGGCGGCGGAGGTGGCGGAGGAGGCGGAGGTGGAGGAGGCGGTGGAGGCGGCGGCGGCGGCAGAGGCGGCGGTGGTGGAGCGGGTCGCGACTCTGCGCATAGGAGTGGCGCCGGTGGTGGTCAGCGCCAGCAGCAGCAGCGGAGTGGTGTGACCCTGTCCCCTCAGCAGCTTCGTGAGTGGTACACTGCACGTCAGCGCGGTGTGGGTTTTGGTCACTGCGCTTATGTCCTCCATACCGGCGACCGCGCTGGTGAGCAGTGCGGAGGCCCGCACTCCACCCAGCGCTGCTTTGGTCGCCTGACGGACGCGTGGCGTCGCCAGTTCCCTGAGGCGTCAGAGATCCCTCACTGGGGAGATCTGACTAAGGCCGGGGTTTCTATCTTTGATCTTGATTTTGATGCTATTCTTGCTGCCATGTATGTTGTTGCTGATAGTGTTGATGGTGCCTGTTACCTGTGTGTACCGCCTGACCCGGGCATTAAGGCCGCTGCTCTAGGTACTGGTGAGGCTGCTGCTCTAGGTACTGGTGCGTCTGCTGCCCCAGGTGCCAGTGCGTCTGCTGCCCTAGGTTCTGGTGATTCTGCTCTCTCAGGTACTGCGTCGGCTCAGGCCTTCCACACCTTTACCCTGGACTCGGGTGCGTCCCGCTCGTTCTTTCGAGACCGCACCACTCTTACGCCGCTCAGTCGACCGGTTGCAGTCTCCCTGGATGACCCCTCTGGGGGTCCTGTCCTTCCTAGCTTCTCCACTGTCCTACCGTGCCCGGCAGCCCCCTCTGGTACCCTGTCTGGTCTCTACCTCCCCTCGTTCTCTACGAACTTCGTGAGTGGAGCGGACCTACAGGATAGGGGGGTTGACCAGTTCACTCCTGCGAGTCAGCGAGTGACCCACTGCACGTTTGCTCGGACAGACCGACACTTGGCCACGTTCACCCGTCGGCCAGGGTCGAGCCTGTACACCCTTACTACTGAGTCTCCTCCGGCTGCTGAGTCTGCCCAGGTAGCTGCGTCGAATCAGGTGTTTGCTACAGCGTCCAGGTCTGGTCCTGAGTCTGCTCCCTGCTCATGTCGTCTGCTGTCCCACCAGACACTCCTTTGGCACCACCGCCTTGGTCACCCCTCCCTGCCTCGTCTCCGAGGCATGGCCTCCCGTGTCCTTGTCTCTGGTCTCCCTCGGTCTCACCCCTCCCTACCTCCAGGGCCTGGCCCTACCTACGTCCCCTCACTCCTCCGAGTTTCCTCCGACAGAGGCTCCGCTGCAGACTCTCCACATGGACGTGTGGGGCCCAGCCCGCGTCAGTGGGCAGGGGTGCGAGCGGTACTTCCTGCTGGTAGTTGACGACTACTCGCGTTACACCACAGTCTTCCCCTTGTGCAGCAAGGGTGACGTCACTGAGGTGTTGATCGACTGGATCCGCGCTGCTCGTCTCCATCTCAGAGAAAGTTTCGGCTCGGACTTTTCTGTTCTGCGTCTGCACTCAGACAGAGGCAGAGAGTTTTCCTCTGCCCGTCTGGGAGCCTTCTGTCGTGCATTGGGCATCTGCCAGACCTTCACGCTTCCGGCCTCTCCACAGAAAAATGGGATTGCTGAGCGCCGCATTGGCATGGTCATGGACGTCACTCGTACGTCCATGATGCATGCGGCTGCCCCCCATTTTCTGTGGCCGTTTGCGGTTCAGTACGCAGCGCATCAGCTCAACCTTCAGGCCCG